CCCCCTCCCCTACCCACTTTGATGCATTTTTCAAATTTCGCCTTGGGGCGGAGTTATCTTTTCATAGGGGGGTAAGATACACTTTAATACCACGCCGTCTAAAGTTCCGCCCGCCATGAAAATGACTACCGAGACCGGATCTGAGTTCTCCCTAGCTGCTGTCCTGACAGCTATTCGCAGCCTGGAAGAAAAAGTAGATGGCTTTGGCAAACAACTTAAAGAAAGCTCTGACGTGTTCACCAGTGTTATGCGACGTGTGGAACAAAATTCAGTCGAAATTGCTGAATGCAAATCCAAAATGGACATTTTGGAAAAAGACCACTCAGACCTGAAGAAAGAAAATGTCTTACTGAAAGACAAGGTGCTTGAGGCTGAAAGTTACCAACGCCGCTGGAACCTGCGACTTTCAGGACTCAAGGAACAGGAAGGAGAAAACATSAGAGAGAAAATCGAAGAGCTTCTGCTGAAGATTTTTCCACAGTGGGATGACAACATCGGCYACGTGGTTGACTCGGTGCATCGCGTGGGCAAGAGAGAAAACGGAAGGAGTCGGCAGGTCATCATGCCGTTCGTGAGGAGACTTCACCGGGATGCAGTTTGGAAGATGACTAAAAATTCACAAGTCTGCCAGGAGCGAGGGGTCCGCTTCGTCCAGGACTTCACCAAGGAAGACAGACTGACGAGAGAACAACTATGGCCTAAAATAAAACATGCTAGGTCTCTGGGTAAGGTGGCTTTTTACAAAGGTCACTTTTTACAAAGTCCAAAAGTTAAAGTGTATCTTCCCCCGCCCTGTGAAAAGATAACTCTGCCGCAAGGCGAAATTTAAAAAATGCATCAAAGTGGGTAGGGGAGGGGGGGTTAGAGAGTGGAGGTGTGGCCAGGACGTGAGAACGTGACAGCCTCTGCTGAGCTGTCCACACCAGCCTCGGACAGAGGAGGAGGAGCGCTCTGCCACAGCCTGACATAAAAAAATAAAAGCATGCAGCTGCATCTGCTCACAAGATCACTAGTTTAAATCAGGAATAAAAATGTTGGGTCTCGTTTGACTGAAG